ACCTTGGATTCGCCAAAGAAAACAACCATTTTTAGAAAAACCCCGTAATTTGAGGACAATCGTTTGCTTTGCCAGGATCGTGTCATCAAGGAAAAGTGAACGCACACGGCTCTAACAAAAAAAAGCCTATTTTTGCTGCCGTTTCTAATGCTTTTTGCAGGTTTTTGGTTGAGAACTTCTTTTCTGACTTGCACGCTTCCATTTTTTTCAGCCCTCCCTCAATCTCGCCCGCCTTATCTCCCCAAAAATGTATGCCTGTCATCAAATTTGTTCACATTTTCTCCACTACCGTACTTTTGTATTAGCACAACAACGCAAACAACCAATCAAAGCGAAGGACATTCTTTTTTATTGAGGATTTATCAGTATCGCGGTGTGTGTGTGTGTGTGTGGCAAATCGCTGAGCATTCGTAAAAAACTTGCGTGTTTATCCTAAGTTTTTTTCTTCATTTTAAACACATCCCCATAAAAAAATACCCACTCGCCAAGTCACTCTTAGTCGCTTCTGCCGTTGTTCCTTACAAGCAGCATTACTTGGGCTAGTCAATTATAAAAAGCAAGTGAAAATTAGACACTGAATTAAAAAATTTTAAATTTCAACAGCAGTAAATAATGCCGCCTTCCATGTACAATTCTTTAAAAGCCGAAACTTTTCTGACGCAAAAACATTACTGCTTTATGAATTAAAGTATTTTACTCTCTATCGATGGCGTAACAACGAACACGATGACATACAGCTGCTCAAGTATTCATGTACTTTCTATATGAGAAGGACAGTGACAATCAGAAGTAGTCCAAGTGCTAGCAAATGCAAACAAGTAACTATCGCCACTGGAACCAGCAGCTATCGTTAATTCCCTCTTCTCTTAGGAATATAATGACGGCGATTCTCTGATTTCCCATAGATGTTACCTCCTTGGATCAGCAAATCGTGGAGGAACTGGGTTTTTTTTTTTGTTTCATTGACAAAAACAATCTGTAAACTTCGGTCTAACAATGGCAGTGCTACTATTCATCACATCACCTAGGATTTTTTTGCGCAAAACGAATGGGCTGCTATGCGCACTATATAAAAAGAACCTGGGAATGCTGCTCCACTGAAGAGGATACGGTAAAATTGTATGTGAACTACTTTGGCCAATTTCTTGGTATCAACTATCGTTTTTGGGTTTTTTTTGAAAAAAGACTTTAAAAAACAAAAAATGAAAAAAGTTCTGCACGTGGTGATGTGCTCAAAATATTTTTACCCTATTTTTTGATTAAAAAAAAAGAACTAACCAGTAACTTTATCGCGCACAAGTTTACAGGAATCGATTTCGCCGAGCGTCGAGAACAACGAACGTACTTCCTCCTGAGTCATATTCTGAGGCAAATAATTGATGATCAGATTTGTCAGCGCTGATTTCGCTTCGCCATCATTTTCCAGTGATGGGGAATTCGTTGATGGCAGCTGCGATGATGAGGATGCATAAAACTGAAATTTTCCGAAAATACTAAACGAAATTTACAACTATCAATAACGCCCATCTCTAAAGGCGAATGGCCGGTTGCGAATAAGAGCAGAGAAAAGGCGATAAGTGGCAAAAAGCTGAAGAACCATAAAAGCGGCGGCAGGAAGAATGTGCTACATCTGAAACGGTGATCACTTGAAATGCCTGGAACAGCTTGGTTTTGGTCTAAGTAGTATCGGGAGTGGAAAGATTTACTTTTTTCAAAGCTATCAGTAATTTACTTTTCGAAGAACTTCTTTTGAACCGGACCAAAAAGATTGTGGGCTTTGTTTCTCTAAACCGAAAATGTGTCTATCTCTCGGAAGATACTGTTAGAAGTTACTTGCAAATAGAGAAAAAAATTACAGTAGTTTCTTCAGTTGCTTTGACCAATGCTGCATTCTTTCTCCTTTCCAGCTTTCGAAGGGCCAGTAAAAATATTTATAACATTGCTTAAGAGTTGCCAGATGTGCGAAATGCCCTTGTTTATTATTGCAATTTGAGGATCAAAGCACTCAGTCCTCAGTTTATCTTTTTTGATATCTTTCTATTAATCCCATGCTAACTGGAGTTACGCAACGGATCGAAAGGTCGGGCACAGCTACATCGAGTAGATACAGAATGGTGTCCTGCGAGCTATATTTTTGATTCATCATATTACTCTGGTCATGTGGCACAGATGACAGAAAACAGATGAACAAATCGTATAATGGGATAGTATCCGCGTACAGCCAAGCGAACATTGGGAAGGCCACCAGTGAGGTGGAGAGGCCCCATGGTACGTCTGTACGATACCACGTGGACTCGAAGAGTGCAACAGCGAGTTGAATGGAGAAGTTGCCAGCTGCATCGATGGCGCGACAACGAATGTGGATGAAATACAGCTGCTGAACTCTCATATCGGGCCAATCAGAGATGAGCATCTGCTAGTCAATTATCTTTATCCAGATGCATTCGGGTCTCCAGTTGATAAGATGTTTCAGTATATGATCATGCAGTTGCAACGTTTCGAACGAAGTGGTAATACCTTGCTGCATGGTGATTCTTTAACCCCCCCGCTTGCAGGCAGATATTTTTGGGAAAAGTAATCGAAACAATATTAAGATTTGCATTTTTTCGCTTCCTTCCTGAGCAATGCCAAAGAAGGGAATGAAGAATGGCATACAAACAAGGGCAAAATTCACTCCTCCGGCTGCCCCTCATCTCATTAAAATCAGCTTCTCCTACAGATGCGAATGAATCAAATTCCCAGTGGTTCTCTTCAAATTATACTCATTAAACTGAGTAAGCCCGAACTGACGCATTTATTTAAACCTCAAAAAAAAAAAAAAAAAATCAACTACATCAGTGCCTAAAAACCACGCATTTCATGTTGCGCTGGAAAAAAAGGATCTAAAAATGACAACATTTTCTGGATTCCAAATAA